CCCCAAAACCCCAAAACCCCAAAACCCCATCAAGTCAATAAAAGAAATCCTAGGAAGTTATAATATAATAAGAGTAACTAAAATCTATAGGCAAAGTTACAAGCATTTTCTCATTTAATTATTGGTCGATTTCCTATTGATCCACTAAGTATTCGATTCATGTGATTTATTTCCTAGTTGGAGTAGATTTAACTAGGATCTACAGCCTTATTCTTAAAGCTGCCTGTGCTTGTATATCTGAGGTTATTTATTACTTCATTGTTACTGGAATGCCTTATCAATCTGCTATCAACTGACCTATCATCCTTTATTATACTAAAATCATTTTTTAATTCAAAATGTTTACTTATGTTGAGATGGAGTTTTCGAATTAAAGTAATTGCTCTCATTACTCCTTTATCCTAATTATTTGGGTCTTAGATTTTGATTTGCTGATTTAGGAGGCATACTACTTATTCTATTAGTGTTACTAAAGTAGTTTAATAAAAATATTGCTAAGTTTACTTATAGCTAGGTCTAAAGCTTTTTGATTGCATCAATTAAGCTGGAAGTGAGCTTTGCTAAGATTATTGTTTTGGGCTTACCAAAGAATCTTTAAAAAAATTGTTGCTTTTAGTTTCTTTAATAAGCATCGAGTCTTATAATGGGCCATTAAATATAATCTTTTTTGATGGCTTTTTTCCTAAAAGTCTATTTTAATGATGAATGAAACTTAATTCTTCATCCTCTGTTTCTGCGTTTGCCATGCTATTTTCAGTGTCAGTACTATTTTTTTTTCTTTCCTCATTAGATTACCTCTATTTCATTGTTATATTGTATATTTAATCAATCTCAACTAAAACTCCCATACCTTTTTAAAAAGGAATAAGACAGTTTACTACTTCTTATGCAACATTCTTTGTTGATGTTCTCAAGAAATTTTCTAATTAGGGATTATAGAATTTTTTGATTATTGAATTTTTTCTTGCTATTAAGTTCTTATAACCATTTTCAAACTCGGAAAGTCTACCTTCTTTCTTATAATTACTTTTAACTAATCTTCGTCACCTTTCTATCATTTCCTAAAGTCTGTTATCTAATTTTTACCAAATATTTGGCCTAAGGTTACCTTCAGACTTAAGTTCACTATTATGCCATACTTTATGATTTATAAATTTATCTAGACAAGTTCTCCAACTAACTTTTAGCAGGGTTTCGTTTATATGTTTTAAACTATTCATCAATCTTTCGCAATATTCAATCAAGATATCATCACCTGTAATTAATACTTTTTCCCCTTTGTTTAAAGATACCATACTTTGATCTGCTTCATTTTCTTATTTTTTGTCAATTGATTCTTTTGCCAATAGTGTAGGTCTCTACCTATTATTTGGGTTTGCTGATGAAATGCTCCTTCCTTACTTATTAATACTTCTTAATTTTTCAATTTCTGTATCCTATAAAACATCTTACGAAATAAAGTTCATATTCTTATGATCATGCAATTTTTCATCACCTTTATTATTGCTGTCATTTCTAGTCACAGTTTCTTTCTCTAACAATTAAAATGATTCTTCAATTTCTTTACTGCCTGTTTAATTCTTTACTTTATTTTTATAGTATTCATAAGATTATGGAATGTCTAATTTGTAATTTAGTTTAGGTACATCTCTTATTTTTAGAGCTATTAACTCATCTGTATAGAGCATTTTATAGATAAATTTATTCGATTATCTCTGCTATGAGAAATACTAATCATATATACTCGAGCCTTGAGCTGGATAAATTCTTACAAAATTGCCTTTTCTATTATATTCCGAAATAGTTTCTCTTAGCAATTCCTTATATTTTATCTAAGTCAATTTCTTGATAAGATCTATATTTTCTAGTATATCTGAGTCAATCTCGGCTTACTTATCAATCAACTAGAGTACAGCAGAGTTTGGCTATTGATAATAAGAGTCATGATTTTACTGGTTAGTAGGCATTCCTCCAATGTGAAAAACACCACCTTAAAAAGTATTTTTTTCTTTTAATGGATTGAAAATATGAGCATATCTCGTATTTAGTGATTTACCCCTATTAAAATAAGATTTCATTCTATTTTTCATCTTATTTTAGCTTTCAACTTTTCTATCAAATTTTTTAACACCTACCAGACATAATAGTTCCGAAATTAGACTACTTTTTATAGTAAGATCTAAAGGACTTTCGCAGGCTAAAGATGGTGATAAGTTAATTTCAATTAGCCATGGCTTTAAATCTGAGTCAATAAGAATGTCATAGCCAAATAATTCAAAGCAGTTACTTCTATGAATACATGTTTTCTTTAAAGCATTGAAAATGTGATTCTCTCCGCTTATAATACTCTTAATTATAACATCAAATATCCTTGACCAAAATAGATTCATATCTATACCTATTGTTTCTAGATGCTTGCAGAAAGCACTGAGACTCCACTTAAAACCAAAATCATCATTTTCCAAGTTCTCATTCTGAACAAAGTTTTCATTTTTCTTGTTCACACTGTAGTTAGTTAGATGCATGAACTTATTATCTTTGTTTACTTTATTTGAGTATTATTCACTTGCAAATCTTGCTAAACCCTCTTTATACACGTAAATCCTTAAAGGATCAAAACTTGTCACTGCTACATAAATTCTCAAGTCAAATTTATGGCCATTAATTAGCAGGGGATTTTATATATATTTGCTAATAACTGATATATCATCAACATTTACCTCAGAGATATCATCAACAAGATAAATACCTCTACCTCTTGAGAGATTGGCTGGTTTTACAATCCAAATGTTTCTTTTTGGATCATTAGCTTTAAGTTTTTGATAATGTGCATAAAATTCTCCAAACTCATCAGGGAGGACATATGTATCGGGAATAAAATCGAAATTATGTCTGCCATATTTCTCCTACATTTTAACTATATTTTGGCAAAGCTTATCCTTTCTTGTGATTTCATTACTCGATGGAAAATGATTTATTTTTTGATACTCATTTAGTCCTTCGTAGAGGTATGATTTACAGTTGGAATTGCTCCATAAGACATTCCATTCATGTGATTCAGTATAATTAAATGAATTAGCTTCCAAAAGAGATCTTACTAGTCTAGTTTCTCCTCTAAATATCTTATAAAGTAGCTCACCACTCTCCACTTAGTAGCTCTTAGAATAACCTTGGGTAGGCTGAAAATTTGAAAGTAACTGATTTTCTTTTATTCCTTTAAAAACTATAAAGTCTGATTGGTTATTCGTAGGATTATTTTTGTGACTGTTTTGATGTTCTTAGTTGAAAAAGTGTGAAGACGTGTTGTTTGAGTTAATATTTCATTCTTCATCTAATTCCTTTAATTTCATTGCCATCTTCAATATCAATCTAAATCTTTCTTCATCTTCCTATTTATTTCAAGTGACATTTAAATTACAAGTTAGCTCTCTGAAACTGGATGATATCACTTTTTGTTCACAATATTTGCTGTACCTAAATTCAAATTAAAAATCAATTTGAGTTACCAGGTCGACCAGAGTGATCTGCTTATACTCCTTGCCAATTTCGTTTGATCAAATTTTGAATGTTTTTTAGTCTTTCAAGTGCTGAACTTTCAACGTATGTAGTTTATTGCTATCTCAAATTATGCTAAAAAAGTTTAATTACCATGTTGGTTGTGCTGGCGTGCCCGTTCATAGGAGCTGTTTAAAGCCTTGACTTCTGTCTAAAACTTTAACTTGATATATGATTACTAAGAATTAGGGCTAAAAGATACTAGCTATGAGGATTTATTTTGGGGTTCTTTGATATTATTGTAGTTTATGCCGTAAAAGTCTTCCATTTATATGAAGGTTCCTCTATTTATTTCTTAATTTATTTCAAATGTTGAAATACAAACTTATGGGGTTTTGGGGTTTTGGGGTTTTGGGGTTTTGGGGTTTTGGGG